GATTCCATCAGACTCTATGTTGCATATTATTAATTTTTAACAATAGATTGTAATATAATTTATAGCACTGTGGGGCAACAAAGGCTGGATCCTGGTAGCAATCCAACCTTTTAGGCTGATAATGGCTTTAACACTGACCTCATATTGAAAAATGAACACGTACAGAGGCCATCAGACCTACTTATAAATAAGAGAACAGGGATAAAACTCATCACTAGTCTGTATCATTGAAAACAAAACTTTCCTTGAGAGAAGGGGCACAGATCTTGTCACAAGATAACGAAATTTTGCTGCTGATTTGGATACAAAAAAGTAATCAAAACTTTGTTTAAAGAAATACATTAACGCACTATTTCTGGAAAAAGAATAAAATACAGAATAGCTGATGTTAATCTGTGTACCTATTCTTTAACTCAATTTGGAAGTAAGAACAAGCATTTTTATGAAGAAAAAGCAAGCCTTTCAAAATCTCTGTGAAAATATGACATTAGTACCTTTGCATTGTTCCTCTTCACAGGTTGCTGATGCAACAACTGGTTTCTTCTACAAATCATGGTCCCTCAGCACTTCACTGAGCACCCAGCGAGCCTTGCGATCAGATCTCCGGGTGGGAAGGAATACATCCATGAAATGTGTTTAAGGCAAGTAAGAGGAACTTCTTGTGAAAGGCAGCACAAAACCATTTCCTGGTTAAACAGCATTCTCATCAAAATATGCTTTAGTATTGCTTATACGTATTTTCTGATTCAGTCTTTTGTGCTGTATGTAGAAATACAGTACAGCAGTAATAATGTAATTAGTATTTTCACTAGCTAAATTATAGAGCTGGCTGCAGCATAAAGCATAGTAGCATCAATATTATCAGTTAAGTATTATACAAAAATGACATCAATAGTTTTAGTATAGTCAGGAGACATAATAATTTCCTCTTTCTCCACAATCCCTTTAAATTGTGTCAGATAAGGAAACTCACAAAATACACTGCCTTTTAGTTCAACTCCAATTCTAAAAATCAGCATCTCCAAGATTTCTTAGGTAAATTTTTTTAGGTTCTTGAACAATATTCCTTTTTGAATATGGTATTAGTTATAAAGAACTTAAGTTCTGCTGCATCGATCTCTCATATGAGTTTAATTTTCCCAGCACTTCTGTAAGTTAACAAAGGAGTATAACAGATACTTCACAGATGAAGATGATGAATCATAGGGATTTGTAATAATTATCCAAGACCATAAAAGCAATCCTATGTCAGTGCAAGAAGCGGAACCACTGGCTTTGCAATCCAGTCCTACTCCATATTTCCTTTCTGCCCTGGCCACATAGGGAGATCTAAAACTCCAACAACCACGATACTGGAAACCAAGCAGCCATTAAGAAAGATATTGAGGCAAGCATGCTTTCATAGATTCCTCACCTGGTGAGACAACAGTCCGCCACCCCTACATACCCAGAAATCAGAGCACTCTAGTTTATACCAAAGTAAAAGGCTATCCTGTGGCATCCTCCATGCCTAAAAGTCCCCTTTGGCCAAGCTAATTCACAACCCCCTAGACCAAATCAAGAACACTGAAGATCTACTCACACTCTATCCACTTCCTAATTACAGTAACTTTATGCTTTACTTCACAAAATGAGATTCATTTCTTCCTCCACCAGTTCCATTCAGCTCCTTCAACATTTTGTTCATTTGTTTGTTAAGATGCAGATCTCCAGCAGATTGATCGCTTCAGATGAGACAAAGCAATCCCTTGGTAAATCCCTCTGGAAATGCAGAACATATTATATACACAAGAGTTGAACTCCTTGAATTTCCCCTTTTCAGATCCTCTACGTTTCCAGTCATTCAGATAAAGAATGGAGCTTTTGTAGGCCAGTTAATCCATCCACTGAATGAAATATGGTAAAAGTTTTACACATCCACATGTTCTTTCAAGGCCCTGGTTTACATCTGTAGATATAATAATAACTGTAGTAATGTAGGCAAAAATCATGGCTCAGGCCCCCAGAGAAGATCTTTAGAGACTTGGGTTGAAAAGTCCCAACGCTGCAATCAAAGGAACCGGCAACATGATTTAAGGGCTGTCTCCACTTACATTTATTTCTGCCAAAGCAGTGGCTTAATTTTCTTTGTGTGTCTTAATAAGCCACCTCTGTGAGAGGGACTCTTACTTGAAATGCTTGTATGTCCTAAGCTCAGAAGTAGGCACCATTGAGTGGTAAGCTGAGAAAAACATCCAAAGGGGGTGTGAGGCCCAAGCTGCAAAATGAGCCTGTTGTTCATCTTTAGCATCACAGTCACAAACTAGCCATGAAGACAGTATTTGAACGAATTAAAATGCAAATCTGCATTTTATTATATGAAATTGAGACAAATTATACACACTTGAAGGCTGCCAGAGTAGCTATTACATAGTTTTAGATGATGAATTAAGCCAAATGAAGAAATGGAAGAGAAACACTGCAGAAACACCTTGAGAAACACTACAGCTAAAAAGCAACTCTTGCCATAGTTACATCAGTAAGCCTAAAATACAAATTAGCAATAATTCTGCTGTAAAGAGCTCGATCTGCCTTGTGCAGACGTGTACCTCCATGGAAGCCTCCAGCCACAAAGTGTATGTGCGATGCAGGGAAGCAACCTGCCAGCAAGGGACAACTGAAGGGGTTTCACACTACACAGGAGAGGACTTTGCACTGCCACAACCTAATGGGATGTGGCATTGTCCAGGAGTCCTGTGACAAAAAGACAAACAGCCACTGGCCTAGGATAGAACTGCCCAGCCAGCGTAAAGATGTATTTATGCTAGGTCTGATTTAGACTGTGCTCTACACAATCAGATTGCTTTGAAGGTTTGCCTTTTGCAATCATTTCCTTTGTCAGGAATCAGAAAAAGACTGTGAAAAGGCTGTGAACAAATTGTTTAGGCATTGAAATTTAACCCTGTGGAATCCTTACAGTGTAGCACAGTATGACACAGCAGGAGCACATTTGTCAGGGGACTGAAGCCTCTTTGCTCTCTCTGCACAAAACATATACATTAGCATTGTGTGGTGTGGGTGTGCTCCCGAGCACACGAGGCAGCTATGGGTACACACAGCTCCATGCCTCTGCTGCCTCCCATCTGCACTCAGCTCCCTGCACCATTTCTGCTCTGTTAGGGAAAATAAAGGCTTCAGATCCTTCAAGACTGTCTGGAAACCCTTCTATTACATTTTCTTTCAGGGATTGTACAAGATTTAATGTTTAAATATCCATAATGTATGTGTTTGAGTATTACAACAATTATTGAGTATTGAGTATTACGACAATCCTGTTAAGAGACCTAAGTTTTTCTACTAGTGTCCTAGTGTTAATAATGTCAGAATATAACAACCAAAAACAAAAAGGCACTTCGTAGAAGCTAGTCAGTTCCAAGGCTCTTCACTTGATGTGGGCTAAGGAAAGAACCCAGCTAGTGTGGTTTCTATACCAGCACTCATGCCACCAACAGTTTCTTTCTGTTAGGCTCCATACAGCAAGGTACTGTGCATCTCCTGCTCCTCCTGAAGAGCAGAGTCTGAGAGCACCAAGTACCTCACAGCAGGAACACAGCCCTCTGTAGAAATAAACCTTAACACCAGATAGCCCACCAATGTTTCTGTGAACCGTCGAAAAATATGCTAACAAGAATAAAAGAAAATAGTCACTTGGAAGTTGGCAAAGAAAAGCCACTGTAAATAATTTTCAACTTAATAAGTTGAAAAATAAGTCTTGGCAAGTCTTGCACAAGAAGAGACTATCCCTGTTTGATAAACTCATTCAGTTATATGTTTAAGAAAGTAGACAAGTTTCTCTCCTGCAGAGGTTTTCACTTATTGTCTTTTCTTATGGCTGCCAGTATTTCAGCATCCCATTCCAGAAACACTGTTTATTACTTTCTGGGGAAAAAAAAGAAAGAAAAAAAAAGGCAAAACACACAAAACTGCTGCATACAAGGAAAAAAAATGGTTAGAACAAAAAATGGTAAATGACAGTTATATATTAGGGAAGACTACAGGGCTGTTTGCTGTCCCCTGCTTCTGCAATACACCAGAGGAGTAAGTAAACTGTAAAAGTCTTTTCACTCTTCACAAGAAGGTAAAAATAGTTCCAGGATGTTCTACAGACAGGCAAGAGCTCACACCTCCACGTAAATGTGATCTGCAGCTTCAAGACTAAGTTCCAAGTGTGTTCCAACTCAATTCTGCAGCAATTTCAGCTCTTGAAGGATAAATCCTAAGCCATCTTAGTCCCATCACTCAAATCAGTGGGACTCAAGTGTCCTCATATTTCCTCTGAATGTGCTCAGAACTTTGGAACAGTGTTCCTGCAGTCAAGCAATTCTTCTGAGCCACACAAATGTGCTGATGACCCACACAGAGCCAAAGCTCCCAGGGTCCTTCCTTCTGTGCCCACAGAAGTTTACTCTGTCCTTTTCAAGAGGAACAACTACACACACACACCAAACAGTGTATTGCTTCTTTCCTCTACAGTGAATTTTGGCTTAATTAGGGGGAATTTTGCAGAAGATGTATTACCTACCATGCCAGGACCCCCACACTATCATATTATGCAGCATTCAGCCCTTGCATCATCATCAGATCTGATCATTTCTTTATTTAGCTGCTACAAACATGTTTGGAGATGCAAAATCATATCACTTTACTTTCTCAAAAGTAGCAGTAGGAAATATCTCAGTGCAGAAAGAATTCCATAATTAGAAAATGCAGAGAGGCCAGCTTTTTCCCCCCTCATCAAGCTTGGGAAGCTTTAAACAATATGCAAAGGCAAAAGGGGAAAATGGTAACAGTACTGAGAAGGCTAAAATTTGAATGAGATAATAACAAACCTTTCTTGTGGAAGGAAAAGGAAATGACTGATTCTAAAAAAGCTTCTGTGATAAATCATCACCCCTGCATGAAATTCCATTCATATATACAGCAATATCTGGTAGTAATGTTAAACAAAAAGGAATAAAAACTTAGCAACAAACAAGTTTATAAAGAACAAAATATAGCTTGCTGGAATTGCTGAGCTCTTTCAGTAGTTCAAACAGTAGAAGAAGATTTCAGAATCAAGCAAGACTTTCAACAGCTGTATTTGTATTACAGTCATAAAGGCATAAATGTGAAATGCAGATCTAATAAAACATTGAAGTTTATAAAACTGGTTGGTAACTCTCCACCCTTTCCAGAAGTATCTCAGAATATCCAGGGGAATAAAACCTGAAAGAGAAACATTTTGTTTGTGTGTTAGACTACAAGGCATGTTCTGTGCAAAGTAATGAAACACTATGCATATTTCTACTGATCAAGAAAAAATCCTAGCATTAAACACTGGTCAAGGAATTCTACAGTTACTCCCCCACAATGTTTTAAGAGCTTGCTTTTCAACTTACATTACCATTTATACTTGGAAGTTAGGTTTTCAGAAATAGTTTTAGCTCCTTTTAGGGCATGTAGGTAAGTGGCTAGGTTTTAGATGGGTTCAGCTGCCATAAGCATTGTCTTTACTAAGGAATGTAGATGTTCTTTTTAAATTATGACCTTTAATAAAAAAGCAGAAGTTTACACAGAACTGTAGGCTGCCAGATGACAATAGTCTGCTGCTGTTCATCAAACATGAGCCCACACCCCAAAGCTAATGGGAAGTCTACATCCATGTATGTGAGAGACATTGATTCTGGAACAAAACAATTTACCACAATGACCTTCTCTCTCTATTGCCAACTCAAGGGTGGAGATTATCCAAAAGGTTTTCATTAGAGCAGGACTCTATGGTGCCATTATTGTCCTGTTGTCATCCAGCTGTTTTTCCACAATGGACCAACTACATGCTTCCAATACACAAGCATCAAAGTTTCATTTAGTTCTTGTTTTCCAGGTTAAGAGTATCTGAAATTTATTACTGTATTATTCTAAAAACATACATCTCAGTTTATTTCTGGTTTTGCAGGCATGTAAATTGCCACCTCTGAGCCCTGAAAGCTTCAGCTATAAAGACAGATGAACACACCTCCATGTAATGCATGCCTACAATATATTCAAGTAAAAATCCCCAGTGTTTTCCATCGAGGGAAGATTTGTTTACCTTGTTGATTTTTATTTTCTGGATGGTTTCTACATAATTTAGCTCTTTTTAAAACTCATATAAGAGTTCTCTGATTGTAAAGCTAACTTTCCAATGCATTACTATATTCAGTCTGCAAATAGCCTAAAATGACAGGTCTGCAGGACAAACCCAAAGCTGGAGTCTATCATAGCTGCTGTGCCTCAGGCAGCACAACCAGCATCAGGCAGTAGCACAGACAGGCAAGCAGGAGATGGTCGAAGGGGCCTTTTTCTTAATTACATCCCAGCCTAGATGACTAACATTTTTTCATTTACAGGGGGAAAAATAGCTGTAACAAAGAAACATTAATTATATCCAGAAAAATATAAGCAAATGTCCTCTTTCCCTCTGAAATACCAGCTGCAGGATAAAATTTCTTTATGATTTTGCCTTTACCCATTTGACAGCCACTGTCTCTTCCTTGTGGAGACAAACAGGGCTTCATTTTGTGTGACTTAGTTTGTAGTGACTATTCGCTGAAGAATTTTGCTGCTGTAATTAAAATTGATGATGCAGATTTTCAGAGCCTGTAGAGGGAGTGCACGAGTACAACATCCTTTTGATGTGTTGATGGAGTGAACGACTGGTAAATGGATATCTAGAATCTAGGAGGGCATTTCTCTCATTATTACAATTTAGGATGGTGACATTTTGACTGTAAGCTATTTAATAGTGTTTCTGTATTCATTAAGGGCAAAGTTCAACTTGGTGCAGACAGCTGGTGTATGGTCCTTTTATATAACACTTAAGCCTCGTGATGAGGCTGGGAAGGAAGGGCAGCTGTGGGCAGACCAACTGTGCAGGAGAGCCTCTGGACCCTCTGTACATCAGAGGCAGTTTCAAAGGAGCCTCTGAATACAGTAGTTCAGACATACAATTAGGAAAGTCAAGGATGCAACCAAAGGTTCACCAATACCTGTATTCTGGAGCCTAAGTAATCCATAAATAAGTCACCAAAATAAACTTCCCACAACATTTATTATTATGAGAGTGGTTGTACTGAAGTAGGATTCAGAGTTCATCTGGGTAGTGCAGGACTGTTTTCTTTCCACTTTCCTGCAAGAGCTTGATTATTTGGGCTTTGTTTACAGACAAAGAAATTTGATTCCAAATACAATCCAAACACAGAAAGTGTTCTAATGTATGTGTCTAGGGGTTGTGTTACCACTGGGGCAGTTAACCAAATGTTAAGCTATTCTATTAAAAAAAATCATATAAAAGTTAAATTACTATTTTAAATCCTTCCTTTGTGTTGTTCCTGTGAAAAACATTTAATAATAAGTATGAAATTTTTAAATCTCTTTTTCCCTACCTTACTATTTCCTCTGGATAGCAATTGTTAATAGCATTGATATATTCCTGAAGAAGTGACCCAGCATCTGCTTTTATTTCTTGAACCTTTTTAAGTCCACCGGTTGTTACAAAGAGACGACGTGCTTTACTGTCATGTGGTAACACCTACACACAGAATAGTACATTAAAAAAAAAGAATATTTTCTTTTTAATGAATCTGTATGCTGCTAGGCTCAAATATTGCTAATGTGTTTTTAATTCAGAGGACAGAGAAAATGGAAAATCAGAGATACAACATCTGTAATGACTACTGTATTATAACACCCAGTTGTACGGGAAAAAAAAAAACATAAACCAGCCCTTTATGGTTACAACATAATTTAACATGTACTTTAATACATAACATATATAAAATAATGAATTGAATATTTATCCTTACATAAATAATATTTCATGAATTATTCCTACAGAGACAATAAGATCGTGGAGATTAAATAGATAATAAAAACAGAATACTAACATGGAATAACAACAGCATCTGTTCCACTTAAACCAAGTTATTCAGGTCTTTTATGTCAATTCCCACAGTTTAATTGTAGAGCTGAATTTTATATCATTATAATGATCTAGTATAGATTAGTGCATGAAAACAATACTGAGAATTGTTGCAAGTGAACAATGCCGCCTTGAAGCTACTATTAAACTCCTAGATATTAAAATCCTTTAACACACTGTGTAGTCATGGAAGCCTTTTACAAACACACACACACAAAGCAAAAACGTGAAGTTTCTGCAGCCAAAGGGGATGAGAAGCAGAAATGATCAGATAATAAGATTCTGTGCTCCCTGAGTGATGCCAATACGCAGCTCTGTCCAGAGGACTGGAGGGAGGGAAGGAGGAAGGTGGGGGCTGGGCCAGGCAAGGGAGAATGACAGCATGTAGTCCATAGCCCCAAAGGGCTGCAATAATATTAAAAAAAAAAGGGAAAAAATACAGAAAGACAGAAAGATAATGCAAGACAGCAGCTGCATCTACAGCAAAACCAGATGGGTTTAAAACCAACTCTGAGAGTTACAGACTATGAGGGCAAAAGCATTTGTAAGCTTTAACACTGGTCAGACAAATTAGGCCATAAATTTGACTGTATTTCAGAGTAAAACAAGAGCCTCAAATGAGGAAGGGATTGCCTAAAAGGATGAAGGAAAAGGACAAGATTTCTTCCGTGCATACAGGCAAGCAGCCTTCATTTCCGCGGTCCCTCTGGGCTGTACAAAATCAACAGACAGGTAAAGAAAAAACAGGAGAGCACAGAGACTTCTCCCTAATATATGCTCCATGGAAGTGTCAGGAACAACTATGATCTTTTTGTTGTAGGAACTAAACAGACATCTTCTTTCACATATCTCCACAACAAGAACTGCCAAGGAGGAGCTAGCAAGGAGACAGGATATGGCCCTTTCCCTGCCTTCCTCCTCCACACTGTGACTACAAGGCTGGATAAGACAGCAGAAATCTTGGAAGAGGCCCTGAAGACAGACAGCACCTCTGAGACACAGTCCCTTCCCCCAGTCCAAACCGAGGCAGCACAGAATAGCACAGATCGTGGAAACTCCAATGCTAAAATGACACAGTCCAGCACCAAGAATGGATAGCATCCCACTCTGAAGCACAGCTTGGAAATAAGGCTTTTACTGTGCTATAAATAAACCCACAGAATACCCCACAACTCTAAGAATAGGAAATTCCCAAGCTATGGTACAAGAGAGAAAAATACTTTTACTACAGAGAACTTAATTTTAAAAGTATACTTCAGAAGAGTAAACAAGTATAGTTTGTTTAATAACATACAGACAAAGAATAAAAACAAAACAAAGCATCTGCTGATATGAAGGGCACGAAACCACTTCAATAGCAAGCAACATTCAAATATACCCTGAATAACCAATTGCTATGCACTTGGCTCATTAATAGCTCCAGTCAGCATGCAGAAGCAAAAAGGACTGGATTCTGGAAATCTCCAGTCTTCATACAGACTTAGCAAGAAGACAGGACAAACCTAACTGTGGCAAGGTAATGTAATCAGGAATCTGCACTACCAACAGCAGTGCTTCTAGATCTGTAATAATCAGAACTGAGTATCAAGAATGTTTTACCTGGTCATTTCCAGAAAGAACATCTCACCAACTGAGCAGGTACTCCCTGCTAACATGTTACACTGCAGAGTATTGCACAAAAGATATTGTATAGCTGAGCAGGATTCCCAACAGCTGGTGAGCACGGCAGACATTGCAAATTTCCTGATTAGTTAGCAATTACTTAGAAAATTTTAAATATTTTTATTAAATTGTATCACTTTCTACATGCTGCATTCAAATGAACAATGTAATAACAACTAATTTTCAAACTTCGAGAGAGATGAGAAAAAATTTGGGATTTTTACACTTATTTGAGACTGAAAATTAATGAGGATAAAAGTAGTGAAGCCTTTATATTATTGTAAAATACCTGACTTAAGTCACTCCTGTAGAGACAGCTTGTTCTTTATCTAAAACAGATGTGACTGGGATTTATGTGATACATTGGCTCAGTGAAAATATTTGCACATGAGTTAATATTCCACTTAATCTCAAGAGGCAAGGAAGAAAAAAACACCTTGCTTATAAGCAACTGTTTTCCCACTCTTAGAATGAATTATGGCAGATTCCAGATGAAACAGTATCCAGCTGTATCAGACAAAAGAACAGGATGCTCCAAACTGCTTTTGAAGGGAATGCTTGAGGATCCTTAAAGAAAACAACTGTTAAAGGAAACAACTGAAAACTTTAGAGACTTCATCTTTGGAAAGATAGGTTCCTTGCTAAATGGGAAAAAATTAACATATTACTCATTAAGCAGAGCCTTTTCTTACCTTACTAAACTGCCCAATAATATGTTTCATAATACTGGGAGGGGCATCATGCAGCAATGGTTCAAGTGCTGGAAGATGCGTGCATTTCTGAAGAATGTTCTTTAAGGCTTTTTTAGCCTGTTGAAATGCAAAATAAAATTTCTCTAGTAAGACATCAATGAAAACAACAAGAATTCATGTTATATATCACTGAAGTCTGATTAAAAAAGCAAATTGATCAGAATTTTCAATGAGCATTTTCTGAATAAAAACTATGATATCTATCAGGTCACTTAATGAAGAATCAATTTTCTACTTAGATTTATTAAGCCTCAAACCCCACAGTGCATCATATTATGTTATCTACGGTCAAAGTAATGGCAATTTTCCTTTGACTATAATGAAAGCTGGAGTAGACCCTTTAAGTAAATTGAAGTAATGTAATATAATAAGAAAGTTAAATCAAAACACATTTTAAAAGATTGTATTTTAGAAGTGGCTTACTATGAGAAGCTGCTGCTCTGGGATAGCAAAGTGCAGTACTGTCCAGGCAAGGAGGGAAAGAGAGAGTGAAACAATTGTGCATTGGTGCTTAGTTTCTGAAAACAGACTCAATGTTGGCTGCTACAAGCAGTAGTGACCTTCTTGGGCAGGATTACAGGTACAGCTAATTTGGCCTTAGTATTTTTGGGACCACCGAAAATTACTACAGAAAAGTTATTTTACAGATCTGGAATGCAATATTTCAGTGAGATGTACAGAAGCATAGTGCAACATGGGAGAGCATATCCCATTGTATTATACTCTTCAGTTGGTTCACTTACTGTTGCTCAAAAATACACTACTAAATTACAGCTCTACTAGTTACCACACGAGGAAGGCCCTAAACTTGAACAGTTGCATATTTTCAAGAGCAGGGTTTTGATTAGCTGTTACAGTTCTATTATAATTATAATAATAAAAATGTAAGAAACACCACTACAGCAACTATAATATTTTCTACAAGAGTTTATACTTGCAAAAAGAAGTAGATAATTAGAAACAAGTCACAAGAAATTATAGCATTTATGAGTATATGCAACTCTCATCTAAACTGGGAAAAAAATAAGGGACTAGACTGCAGTGGCTGTACCATATGATTTGGTATGAACATATGCACACCCATTAGGAACCAGCCAGTCCTAATAAATGACACACAGCCTTCAGATACCCTGGACCCCGGAAATCTGTGACTCGATGAACATCAATAAAAACACAAAGCATTTAGTAATTTTTAAGCACTTAAATCTCTTAATTACAATTAATTAATCACCCTGCAAATACTACAAATATACTTGCTTTCATTTTAAGATCTTCTGAACTGCGTGTGTCCACATAGATATCAAGCAATGTGGGGAGCACATTTGCTCCTGCAACATGACGTGCATGCTCAGCAGTGTGTCTTCCAATCTGTCCCAAGGCCCAAGCAGCTGCTGCCTTAATATGATCTTCATGTTCTTCTATCAAGCAGGCACACAGTGGTGGTATTCCCTGTAGCATTAATCAAAAGCACAACCTTTACAAATGTAGACCAGAGAAGGACAATGTGAAACCGATACAGCTGGTTAGAAAATGTTTCTCTATTTACACTCTTCCTGTAAAAAACCCTGTAAGATAATGCATGCTAGTGGTGTAATATTTTTACATCATCAAGACTAGCAAGAATTTTTAATAAATCTTAATAAATATAATTAAAGAAAGAGAAACAGATTCAATGTTCCAAGTCAAAAGGCAGTTTGAACAAACATGCAAATTTAAGGGATAAAAGGAATACATGACACAGTTCAGGCTGTACTGAGTAAAAGTTGCAGTTTTGTCAAACTAAAAATAAAATAATTTGAGTGCTTATGATTCTAGGAAAGTAGTTTAAGACTATAAGGGCTCAATCATTGAGTCTTTCTTTTTTATTATCTACACCAATAAATTTCAAGTTATCAACCTCTTCTTGAGTCCAGTAGTTCATGTTTGACTCATCCAATAATTTGCAGAAAGGTTTCAACTCTTGAAGACATCAGGAGATGGAGAATGCCATCGCACATCCAGTTGTTACTAAAGTTCTTATGGTTTGGATCACAGTCTTTATCCTTTCTCCACAGCTACTTAGATTATGCCAAGATGCTTCAACAGGAAACATTTCATGCTACTTCAGGTAAGGCAAGGCTACCAAAACTCTACTGTAAAAACCTTGTTCTCCATCCCATGAATCTTTTTTAGTGTTTTCTGCACACTTTTCTGGTTTTCATTTGGGTTGGGTTGGGTTTTTTTTGCAAGTCGTTTTCAAATACAGGGAGCATATCCACTACTAACAGATTAACTTCCCTTTTCCAATACTGCTTCATCTTCCACTCTAATACCACTACAGCAGAAGATCACAATGAAGTGTTTGTCCAGTATGGTCCCAAAAATAATTTTTCAAAATTCATCCTTTCCAGGTTAGAGTACAGCAGAATAGAGCTATCACTTTACATCATAACATCATCAGTGTTTAACTGCACGTGGTTATGCCACAGTGCATTTCTTTTAAATGGTTCCAGTTTACCAAGCCTTGTCCTCAGCACTATGTACCACTACACAAGCTTATTTTCCCCTGAAGCGGGTTTTTTTAATGGGCTTTGGGTTTATTGTTATTGCTTTTGTGGACCATTCATTAAAATATTTAATTTCATGAAAGTTTGCACAGATCCCTACAAAAGCTCTCACTGCGGTTCCATTCAGTTATGATAGGAATCATTAGTACTCTTCAAAAATTTAATACTTAAAGGCTTAATCCTGAACTTAATCCTGGATTCATCCCACCTAATGTCAAGCACTCAACGGTCGGAGCATATTTGCTCTTGGCATCCTGAAAGTGGAGAGACAGACACATCCAGAGAAAGGACTCAAGAGAGGGCAAACAAAACGTGTCTATTTCTTTAGTTTTAAAATACAGAAGAGCATTTTTGATCACTCCTACCTTCCCTGCATACTATATGTTATGTTGTAGCAATTTTCAATTTTTAATTCGCATTCCTACTAGAAGACATTTCTGTTCTTCCATTTTTGTTTTGTTGTTTCCACTCATACAGTATATTTTAGATTACTGACATAGTGTGAAAATGGGCCAAAAATGTTAGTGAAAATATCTCCTTCCTTCTGTCATTAGTTAGTATGATTTACATCAGACTAATATATCAGGCACTAATTTCACCTATTGCAAATATTGCAAATGCTCTCCCTTGTATATCATGGCCCAGCAGATTTTATTTAAACCTGAAAATGTACAGCTTAACTCATTTGAAATGTTACTTGCACAACTGAATCAAACACTAGAAACTGAAGTCTTTTCAAGTTTGAAGATTTCTGTTGCAAGATACTCTAGTGGTACTAGCAGAGTCATGCTAGTGCAATGAAGAACATGCCATTAAACATACTTGTTTCAAAAAAGGTTTTGATGTAGCCACAAATATTCATTTTAAGAGGAAGCAGACTATAGGAATTCACTGACTTATTTTCTGTACCCGTGCAATTGCAACACAGAAAAATCATGCATTGTAATACAAACTAATCCAGGATATTTTATAAAAGGGTCAACATCATAAGGACACCCTTTGATCAGGTTACCACATAATTTCGGTCATAGCAAGTGGCAATATAAGGAGGAAGTGCATTCGTCAAGAGCAAGTATATGATCCTGTCACAAAATATATCCTCTGCCAATGTTCATTTGTATCTCTACCTCAGAATACTGCTGAAGAATTATACAAAGACAACAAAGTGATAGCTAACCTTGGAGACAATCACTGCCATTGACAGGTTCTCCGAATGAGCTGCTACATAACCAAGCATCATGATGCCAGGCAGTCTGACAGTCCCTCTGCAGCTGCCAATACAATCAATCACAGCAGCAACTCCGCCTGAATTTACTATAAGCTGTGAAAGCTGAAAAGATAAACAAAAGAGATTAGATACTGTGAAATATCAACAGGCATAAAGCACTACATCAGAAAAGTCTTTTAATGTATTGCTCCTAATTTACAAAATAAAGCCGGAATAAGAGCGATGTATCATACAGACTGTTGGCAACTAAGTGCAGCATGAAGTTTTCAGGAATGAAGCTGATTTGCTACGGTGCTTTTGATTGACTTTACTGCAAGGAAATCAGGATTCTGAATTCGTTATGCTGTACAGCATGAATGACATATTCTCAACTCCATTATCATACACAGAAGAGATGTGCAGATGACAGCCTAATACATGAATGATCATGAAGATGCACCGACTGACCCAGTTCCATATTAGTGCCCACTCATTCCCCAGCTAACATCATATGTTCTGTGCAGCAACAGACGGAAAGGCCCACTCTTCCTCTCACCTGCATTTTCTGCAGCATAAAATCCTTTGTGAATCCTCCCACTGAGGCATGAAGCCAAGGACAACTGTTCTGGATGTGCAAAACTGACTTGGGCTGCACCATTCTGCCATGTTAAGAGTACTCTGAGGGAAGTGTCCAGGGAACACACTTGATGGGCATTGGAGTCTGCCCCGGAATGCCAAATTATATAGCCTTACTTATAAATGATAATCAAGCTATGCACCTTGGTTTTTTTCCAAACGCTATCACTTCCCACATCACTGGAGGGACAGCAGTAGAGTATGTATGATATCAACAATGCATAGAAATTATTTCATATTATGATTATTTTCTTCCATATTGTTAAGTATATCCCATTTTCCCGACAGATTCCAAAGTAAAAGAAACATGTTCTTAAAAGTCAAAATTAAATGAACAAAACTGAGGCACGTAAATTTCCAATCCAGCTGATTTCTATAAACATGAAATTCACCTTTTCCTCAGAGCCTTTCAAAGGGGATTGTTTCATTCATGAAACAGCCAGATGAAATTTGCAGTTATTACTTAGGAAAAACTGTTCACATGATTGTGAACTGCAGCCAGTGGCAACCAAGTCTTACGTCTGGACACAGCCATGTTCACTTGGATGCACAGAGCACACTCCCCACTGCTCTGTCCCTCAGCCCTTGCTGTTAAGTCCCCCCAGTGATGACCTTCACATGAATTTTACTGCATATGCAGATTGAGAGCTGGGATCCAAAAGCCACGAGTCTCAAATGACACAGCCAAGTCCTCTAGAAATATCATTTGCCAGTGTGCCTCTGCTGCAACATGTGTTGCTTGAATAGAGTTGCTCAGAGATGGACAGTGGTCACTGTCACTCTGAAGTCAAACACAGATTGTGACTTCCCACTGGGAGTCACTTCCTACAGCTCCTTTGGAGAGCTGCTAGCATGGCCAATTCCCCTGGCATGGAGGATCCAGTGCTAGCAGCTCTTCTGACTCTACCTGCAGTCTTGTGAGTTTGGTCTCTGGTTTCTGACTCCAGTGTCCCCCTTTGATAATGATAATTTCTTCACTTTTGAGGAAGTAAAGTTGCATTGCCCATGAGGTGCAGAGAGAAAGCAGATGTTCCAGGAGTGTAACCTTTAATCACCAGTTTAAAGAGTGGCAGGCTGAAGAAACAGCACAATATTCATGTTTAAACACTTCTCAGTTGTTGAGTTAGTATGATTTTGAAATGGCTGTGTTCAGCATTAGCGTGTTCTACAAATACATTGCTTGTATTTCATTCCAAAGTCATATTTAGAGCCTTTTAATTATCTCTGTGGTCTGACAGATTAACATAGTTATAATTATTTGGTTTTTCTATTTATTTTGTATTGACTTTGCCAAACATCCCGACCTTCCTGTATCAGCTATTGGCAAAAACAGTGCAAATGCTGAGACTCAAATTACAAACTCAAGCTAATAACAGAAACTACCACCAGTTTAATAATAAATGAGAGAATTTTTGACCTTCACTGTCATTGAAAAAATAATTAAAATGTGATCCCAGCACCCCAGAAGATTTTTAAAAAGACACACACCATCTATTATAGTTACAGGATGATCATGCAATTTATTAGCTGGTATCATGACTTCTGTGAGGCTTTTCTCATGATATTTTTAATATCTAGGACTGACAGTACTGTCAGCCTAGAACTCCCACTCTGTGCAGATATCTCATAGAATGAAGTAGGTAGGTATACATTTTATGATTCCCAGTTTCCTAACCCAATTCATATTCAATACACATCTCATAATATCAGCAAGCATTTCCATATTTTCCAATGAACATGCCAAACAGCTATTTGCCCTCCCTTTCGAAAAGCAAATGACAGAATAATCCTGTATTTTATTTAAAGTGTAAAATCTAATGATATGACCTTGTATTTGCATTTTCAAGGTTTTACCTCAGGCGAATGCTTTGCTATCTCTCTAATTAAAGTTGCACCATTTTTCTTGACATATTCATCTGAGTCCTTCAGGCATGTGAGCACAACTGGGAAAATTTCTGCTTCAACCACCAACTCTGCAAGATCCACTGAATGCTTTGCTATTTGGCTTAGAGCTGACAGCACCTGACGCTAGTAAATAAAAATTGTTATAAAATCAATAGTATACAAACATCCGACAACACACACTCCCCCTGCACACAAAAATCTATTGCATCAAGGAAAACAAAGCAGGATAGGGAAAACAATTACAGCTATTTTACAATTCACTGAGTCAATTCATGCACGAATATAATGGCACAGAACATTCGCTGGTTCCTGAATAAAAGTTTCTCTTTTGTTTTATTCCATTCAAGCTTGCTATGTATTAAAAAAGCAAATATATATATATATGCCATTTAAAACTTTAATTTAAAATTTAGTAAAATCTACAGAAAATATCTTTATTTGCATAAGTTGAATCTGTCAAATCTTATATTAAGGATTTTTTATCTATTTGTTTGAAGTGGCATTTTTATGTTGCCTTCTGTTTCTGTTAGACAGAAAATTTATATTGAGAAACAATTTTTTTAACCATTAAACTCTAGTGATTAAACCTTTGACAACAACTATTCACATTAGATGGTACATTCTAAAATACAATACATTTACTATTAACTGCTTTATCGTATAATCTTAAGTATGCAAAACCTTTTTTGTAACTGAAATGTGCAAATTTTATCTATTGAAAGTATCTGTTGCATTCTTTATATACTATGTATTTCTAAAAAAACCCATACTATTCACTTTAAAGACTAGTTTAGCTGTTCCTTACAGAGCTGCAGTTTTTATCCAGTAGCTAAATTTGTGAATGTGACCAGAACTCTTTGTCACCATCTACGTACTTACATTTTGTTAACACCCAAACCAAGAGCTTCTAAATAAATATGCACATCAGTGTCTTTGATTCAGTATTGAGTAATGACTGGTATAATGGAGATTTTAAAAAAAATTAAATGTACCTTCAGTTTAGCATCAGGGTTCGGGATCATCTGAGCTAAGTGAGCGATAGCTCCTGCATCCACTACTGTCTGTGCTAACTCTGGAGAATGCTTTGAAATATCACTGAGAGTTGAAGCAGCAATCCTTTTCAAAGCAATTTCTGGCTCCTGGATACAGAGCACTAAAAGAGGAACAGCGCCTGCCTCCACCACAGCTTGTGACAGTTCTGTAGGTCCAAGGAAAGTAATTAAGTGAGTATGGGTGACTGACCCTTGTGCAAGCCATTTTTCACCCTGACAGATACAGCAAAGGAAAAAGGGGAGGGTGTAGTTCACTGTCTCGACATCTGCATTTCAAATCAGCCCTCCTGGTTTCATAAACCGTGTGGACCAATCCACAACTGAAAAGAATGCAGGTCAATAGATGGACCCCCATTTACATGCACACATTTGAGGTAGATTAGGCTGAAATGGTTTGTTATTCTGTTTTCTTTTTCTTTTTTTAAAGTAAGCAGATGTCAGCTGTTTAAACCCTGGCTATTCTACACTGATCAATAGGAAAGCATTTTATGCATGGCTAACAACAACACAGAAAGCCAAAGTACCAAAATTTTACCGACCACCTAATTAGAGAGCATTTTACCCTCTTTAAATGGTAAGCAGATATTAGCATAGATCAAATGCCAAAAACAAAAATCCAAAAAACATACATAAAAATTTATCTTTCATAAAAGATTGGGAAAATGGAACTTGCTGATCAAACTAGTCTTTGCTACCATACATGGGATGAGACAGAATTTATACTTTAATGACATGAAAATGTTATCAGACACAATTAGACAAATGAGAAATATCATCAGTGAGATACTGTGTGTGTGTGAGATTAGCACAATATCCTTAACTAACTGCACCTTATATTAAAAAAAAAAAGAAAAGAAAAAAAAATCTGAGCATATGATTAGCTGACATGGACAAAAATTACACTATTAGAAATTCATTAGCTCTCTCTGTGTATGCAGCATTAATCACAGTCCTAAAATGAGAATTACTGAATATCAGAAGCAAAATTTATATTATAACCAAGCTGTGCTATTTTAAAATAGTGTTGAAAAAGTGGTAAAAATCATAGGGGATTCAATAATCTATTAGGTTCTTCATTCAGTTTCGCTACACCTTATTACGCATATCCATTATTATCTTTAACATTTATCTTGACTTACAGTACCATGGCAACATATGGCTGTTGTATTTCAAGACTCTAACTTAGCTTTTGATTTATAGTCCATCCATAAAGAGATTTTCATACTAAGAAAAATACAGCATACTTCATTAAATATACATAGACTAATATAGTTTTTCATGAAATCTGTAAGTCATGTCATCATTACATTAATATCCAAATAACATTCCAGATCGGATTTGTTTTCAATTAGTGAGTTACAACCACACATGTGATAAGTCAAATATTTACACTATGTATGTTATTTTATGATACAATATTTTAAAGAAAATATAAATATTACATCACAACATTATATTAAATAATGCAGTAATTTTTAGACTAATACAAAATTAACCCTAAAAGGTTCACTTTTCAAATAACTATTTGACTAAAAATTTAGCACGTGCATCCTCAAAATACATACAAACCGTAAGATTTCAACAAAACTCAAATGTTGTATCTTCAGTTTTACAAATTTGAAGTGAAATGTACCTGAAATGTATGTAAAAACAGATCTAAAAACTAGCCACTGTCAGCTTTTCATGGAAAAAAGCCATACTCAATTTCTTCAGATTGTGTTTTGATGTGTTTTGGTAGACTGACCAAGTGGAATACATTGTGATCTACTGACCAACAGTCCAGATTAATCCATCTGACTGTGCCTCAGAAGCAACTTCACACCAACCAATTCAGTTGCCTACAGTCTGCTAGGAGATGCTAATATCAAGAATATGAGGTCAAGAGGGACATGGTACTAATTAGAAGAATGGGTTTCTTTGATGCCTTATGAGCTAAAATCATGAAGTTCAAGCAGGGAGAGAAAAAGCAATACTTTAAGGTCACAGCTACATCCAGGCATGCAAAAGTAGCCATAAAAGTTATTTGAAAAGAGCTAACTAAATCTGATTCAATTTAGATCAGCTGTTGCTGTTAGAAGTCTGATATCATTTAAATACTGATGGTTATTGTTGGTCATGGGTAATTAAATGGTTGTTCTTCCAGTGGTGTTTTATAAGGTTCATGGCTAATAACTTACCACATGGAGGGCTGGACCATGTGTCAAAAGACAGACAGGTTGTAAATGGACTCTCAGAAAAACAGAAAAGCTAAAGAAAAAAAGAAAATATAGAACTTCCCGTGACATTTCCCTGCAAACTCAGCCCAAAATTACATATCTAAGTATTAATGATTCTATTATAAATTGTAATTCTTCTTTTTTTTCCTCAAGAAAAGGCTCAATTAACCTTGCTACTTGGTAGAACATCTTTAATGCAGACTATACACCAAAGGATTCATTGAACTTTTCCATCCAATTACAAACACAGACAGAGGTGGGTGAAAAAAATGAAGACCGAGGAGTTAGAGGAGAGAACAAAGTTGTCAACAAGAAATTTTTAAAAACAAATATTCAGCCAAAAAAAATTAATTTTTTATAATTTGGAACAAATTACAAAAATACTTTTCCAAATACTATGCCAAGGCTGCATTATAAGGGCAGAGACAAGACTGATAGCTGAAAAGGAGAAAGGCAGCAGAGAAAAACTAATGTATGAACCTCATTTAATTCCACAGAAGGTTTTGAAAATCCTAGGCGTGGAACTTCATTTTGAAGTACTGCTCAAGGAACCTGTCCAACTACATGATGATAAAGTTCAACTCCCTCCATGAATGAAAGTGCTGAGAAACAAGAGAATTAAGGCTCAAAACCAACCATAAATTAATTGCTTTTGCCCAGATCAAAATAAAGAAGATTTTAGCAAATGGAGACACTCTAGACAAGACTGTAGAAGAAAGACTCATAAGACAGTCTTTAGAGTTTAAGATGTCACCAGTTCAACTAGAAGTTGTACTAGGGTTGCACTGATTTGTGTCAATACAAAAGTACTCATCAGGGACTAAGAAATTAATTCAAAGTAAGTTGAGGCCTCGTCATGAGTTTATGTCATCAGGACGAGTGGAAAGCTAACAAAGAGGAGTGAAGATCCTAACTACATACCCACTGAAATCAGTGGAAAGTCTTACAGGATTATTCTAAACTGTTTTAAGATGTTAAAAAAAAACCCTAACTTTAACTAATGTTAATATGTTGGCAATAATAGTATGGATAAAGCAAAAAATATTAGGGAAAAAAGATGAGGGTGAGAAAGTGAATGTGCAGGTAGTCCTAGAGAAGGAAAATTGGCTCTGAACAATATCACATTCATATAGTGGAGCAGTAGCAAAACCTTTGATTGGGAGCAAGTGCAAGTTTCAGTTCAGACCAGGGTTCTCAAACAGCCCCCGCTGTGGTAGCAGGTGTATCCACAGGAAACAACATGTTTTAACCAAATCAACCACCAACACTGTATTTTTCTGAGGACTGTGTGACCATGTAATGGCCACATAGGAAGACTCTAATCCCCACAAGTAGCCCAAAGGCTGCACTTCCAAATCACAGGTTTATGGAGGCCACTACAACCACAGTGCTAAAGATTCCACTGGAACCAGTGGGAAAACCTTTCATCAGAAGGATGGAGGTTAGGCTCAAATCACTGATGAGCTGAGCAACCTGGTCTAATCCTGTAGCAGATGCTGCTTAGAGCAGGAAGCTAGACTGGAGACCTCCCAAGGTCCCTTCCAAGCTGAGCTATACTATGATCCAAAGTGTACCACTGTATGAGAGAAAAATGAGCAAAACTCTGCTCTCAGCAACATGATTGAGTATAAATAGTGGGGTTTTTTGGTTTCCTACCAATTTACAATATACTGAAACAGGTGTGAGACAATTAATAAATTACACCTATAATGTAGGCAAAGAAAATGGAAAGCCAAATTATTTGCATACTTCAAACAAAAGAATTTTGCATTTTAAAAGTAACTGAATATGGTATAAGTAAAGTTTACAAAATATTTTTCCTGGACTTGATGATATTTCAAACACTTTACACTTCTTTTTAAACACAAATATTAGAAATAATGAATGGCAAAATTACAGCACACTGATCTGTACACTTTGGAGTTAAGATCAGCATCTGAAATTCATCTCAAAGATGAACTTCTCTTCAAGAATGAGGAGAACTGCAAGAGCAGTTCCTAAATTTTGAAATCTGACCTGGCAGGATTTCTTGTGCCTTGAAATCTCATGAGATATTTGTTTTGACCTAAAATCTCACAAGCCTTCGGGAGACATCTGTTCACAGAAACAAAGAGATTGTTGGATGAAGTCAGTACAGAACTTGCTAGGCAGAGAATGTTTCCATCAGGAAAAATAAAAAAAGAAGAAAATCCTTGATTTCTCAAAATGGAAGTCTTTTCATGGAACATACATTGCAGTTCTTAGATAGCAGATTTACCAGATCATGGATGGAATTTCTGATTAAAAGCAGAGAGACCCTCACCACTGCAAACAGTTATAGCTGAATGCTGGGAGCCTTTGATTGCACTTAGGAAGACAGAGGTTCACATCCTATCTAACACAGATCAGAACTTTAATCTGTCTTTCACATACATCCCAGAGATATGTTGTAATTATTGAACTTTTCTTGCTGGGCCAAATAAATCTCCCTATCCCCCAATTTTTTCAAGAGAGAGAAAAAAAGTCTCAATATTATCCCAGTTTGGAACTGAAACAATTTTTGAAACTGAAAAACCTTTTATGGGTGGGGAAAACCATTTCACACCCAGCTTTATTTTAAGCTGCATTATGTGTCCACAGAAAGTTAATGACAAAAAATTATAACTGCCAAATTTTGTCAACACAAGCATTTGAGTCTAATCCAGAGTTTCCTGAACAGTAAACAACCAGATGTTGATAAGAACAAGTTCACTTATCTCTGTATCCCATCTCCAACAATATCCTGTTGCAAAGGCATGCTTGTAGGAGTGTAAGAAACATACCATACAGAGAGTGATCTTTTCTCAGTATAACGCCTCTACTTTCAATAATCATATTAGAGACTTCCTGTGACTGTGTTATAAAGCAAGGTAAATCCTCTAAATTAGCTGTAGCTGGGCAGAGGAAGAACAATTTTTCCAGGGATCTTTCAGTGGGGTTTTTTGGGGCTTCGTTTGTTGGTTTCTTGGGTTTTTTTCACTGATTGCATCTAGTGATCTGTCTATGTCCTCATGCTTGCAGCTTGGTAGCACATTTTCAACCTAATTTCTGAAAATGCTGTTCTTATTGCTGTCGTAAATTGACATAAGGTATGCACCCATTCACCATCAGTGAATAAATTATTCATAACCATGGAATAAAAATTTGTACGAAGAATTTGTAGTCTTCAATACCCCCACATCACCTCCATCTTTGCAAACAATGCTGTCACAGAGTGAACTGGATCACCCTAAAGATCCATCAGCATTCATGCAGTGAATAGCATGAAGGGTAATTGAAGTGAGTCAATATTGATTTACTGACATAACAAAACTGCAGAAATGTTTATGTTAAGAGTAACACAGGCACAGACACACTACACACATTTACACAAATGAACACTTTTGATATTTAAATAAGTATATTTCAGATGGAAGGAACAATTATTTTCCACCAAGGGTGGGATTCAATCCTGGTGACCAAAAGACAAAAAGATCTTTACCAGAGAGGTGCCCCAAGAATTAATCTGTTGCCCAGAAAATGCAGTCTGTTAGAAAGGTGCTAACAACTTTGGAGACTGTCTCAGCACTTTAACCCTCTAAGTGGGAAGGGGGAATCCCTCATGCCTTCTGCAGTCCAACAGTCTGTATTGATTAAAGAAATAGTCACTTTCACAGTCTATGTACATTTTAGAGCCAAGTATAAAAGCATGAGTTAATGTTATGATCCTAGAATTAGTTTAATTTTAAACAATATGAACCCTAGCCATTTCTCCCACCCCTTCCAGACAGCAGTTTCTTCCCTCAGTTCTTTGATTCATAGCTCTAAACTTTTACTTGAACTATATAAATAGCTGGTAAAAGAACTATCAACCACGTGGATCAGCTTTTAAATAGGAACATGACACCGCCAGTGCGTTATACAACTGCCTGTGAGACAGCAGTGAACTGCTCAATATTGGATTCCTAGGATCTATTCCTGACTCTCAGAGAGGAGTGTGGTCTACTGGCTAATGATAATATAGTCATTGCAATGAATTTGGCCTATTTATCCTGCAAACACTGCTGTAAGCTGAATGAAACTTGCTTCTCCCTAGGCTTGTCCATTCCACTATGTATATAAAGTAAGAACTAATGTCAAGCAAAAGAACCTTTGTTCTGCAGTAACACTCACACAATACATAAAGATTCAGAAATTTCTTCATGAAGATGAATAAAGCAGTGTCCTTTCTTGGCCGCAGGCCAAACACATCTCCTCTTAGAGCACTTCTCACAACCAGGCACTCCTGGTGTCAGATATGCCAGTTTCCCACAAAAGGTACAGCACTGTAGGAATGGTACAGTTACATTAGGGTTTCATCTCAAATTTAGAATTTTAGAACAGAAGAAAAAGCATCTTATTCTATTTATCAAAATCATGCAATTTATTGTAATTATCATATAACATTAATCTGAAAGATAACATGTGAAACTTGTTACCTGGATTGTGTCGGGCAATATAATCAAATGCCCAACATGCACCTTCTTTGACTCCAGGGTCAAAGTCTTCCAAGCAAATCACCAGTGTTTCCAGTGCTCCACTCTGAACTACTGCCTGAGCTAGCTGTGGAGAATGTTTAGCAATTGCTCTTAGCACAAATGCAGCTGTTTTCTTGTAGTAACGCTAGACAAATCAGAAAAAACAAAACAAACAAACTTTCACTAACATTAAGTAGCTCAAAGCATAATACAGTACAGGCATGCCTAAATTAGACTTTTTTAGTAGCAGCAATATCTCATACCAGTCCAAATCAGGACCACTAGACATCACATAAACAACAAACCTACAGTTCTTTGAGACAGCTCACAATCTAAAATCTACAGTAAGTGCATAAACAAACAGAAAAAATGAGAGAGCTAAGAGGATATGGGGAAAAGATAATAGTCTAGATAAGTCTGTTTGTTCAAGTGAGTAGTGAACGACAAGAGCTGCAAAAACAATAGCTCTTAACATATTTAACCAGATTACACAGGTTATGCAGGGCAAGCTCCTAAAATAATTCTACCCATCTGTGATACTAGCAAGGTATCACAATTTCTAATGCAGATACCCTCACAACATCTCTACGAGAAAACAATGTTTACATTCACAAACAGAAAGCTAAAAGCATTAGATCCAATAAAAGGGTTTAGGATCTGAATCCTGAAATGCCTAAATACTGCCTAAAGTCCACAGCTAAGATCCTGAAAACCCATCCCTCCAACACCCAATACTGAATGACCCTACGTTTTGACCAAGCAGCCTGCAATTTTACTCCTGCATGTGTGCAGAAACAGCTCATTTTGTACAGGACTAAGCACTTTGGCATCTCTGTCATAAGTGCAAGCAAGTCTAAGCTCTTGTCTCAGTTCTGTCCATCCTCCTCAGTGCTGGACCAAATACATGTTTTGAGCATGCATATTTAATGTATGACACTGCACAGTCATGGGGTTCCCATGTAAACTGCAGCAGTAGTTGTAGTTTCTTCTAAAAGCACAGGTAAAGTCTTTCCCCAAAAGCCACATTCCAGTCTCCTCTTGCAGTTTCATAACTCTCATTGGGGTGTGGAAGCTGAACATTAAGTTTCTTCCACTGCCTTATAGTTTCAAAATCTAGAGCCTGGTTAAAGTACTCCAGCCAGAGAAAACTGTGTTGTGAGACAGCTCTCCTCCCTCATGAACGGCAAAATTCATGGGGACACAAGTAACCTACTGCTATGTCCATGTGCCCAGAGTATGGTCTCCAGCCTGGCCATTGACAGATCATCCCTATGGACAAGCTCTAGAGGACTCTTCCTCCACATGCCACCTGGTTTTGATCTCATCCCAAGACGATCGATTCTCCCCTGCTCTGCACAGGGAGCCTGGGCACTTTATAGTGCTAGATTCCTACTGTCAGTATACCCAAAATTTAAACAATGCAAAGCCCACATCCCTTTTGGATCAAGTCCAGAAAAACAAAGAACCACGTCAGTGGTTTTTTGCATCCTGTAAGGTGCCCAAACACCTTCAAAAGTCTGATCTAAAGCACTAAGGTATGGCAACAAAGAAGTACCTGCAATGGCCCCACAGGAAGCAAAATGGACCCAGGCCACTCCCTGGCCCTGAAGGAAGGTGACACAGCATATCACATTCATCCACCTGAACTCCTCTTTCCTCAAAGCACAATGGCCTTGTCTATGCTACTGGAAACTGTCCCTGCCTTGTGTTATCTTTAAACCATGTCCAGGCATTGTTGAGTAGTCTGATGGCTGGCATTGGCTAAAACCACATCAGAGAGCCTGTTAATGATTAACAAGCACAGTCATCTTCCAGTGCTCAAACACATGGCCTTACCTTCCTTAGTTTACCAGTAATGATATAATTCCTTAATGCCAAAAATCCAGTCTTCTAATGTACCTACAAGCAGGTACATTAAATATAATTTACAAGAAAAGCATTAGACCTCATTTAGGGGGAACAGAGGTTAAGGGAAACAGAACAGAAAAATGGTGAAATTCCCAGATAATTTAAGATACCCCAAGTTTTGATGAACTCAATGGAGTTGTTTTATATCAGTCTATGTCTGTGCAAATATGGGTATGTTATTTCTGTTAAGTAATTATGCTCCTGGCAAAGAAAAACACTTCTTTGTTTTTATTATTCAAAACACATTATTTACAAACAAATCATATTCACAGGCAACAGTCAAAACACACTGTAAAACCAGATTTTGCTCTGTTTAATTGATAAAACATTGATCTGGGATGTGACCCTGTAACTGTTCTCCATAAATCAGTAGAAATAGTATTCATTGTGTGCTCAAAGAACCTCATCCTTAAATATAGATGTTGATACATTAAGATTGAGTGGAATGGAAATGTTTTCTTTTGCCTATGGGAAGTAGCAAACTGTATGCATTGCTAAACTCTGCATGAACTGGATAATGAGTTTCACTTGCTCTCAGTCACCAAGGCATATTATGCTTTCCATGACCTCAAACTAGTCTTGCTGCTGCCCCAAGTAATTCTGAATTACAGCTATCTGAGTGTAGTGACAGCATGGGCAGTAACATGGAAGAAATAAATCAGGGTACTCCAGCTAATTTAGTGAGAGGTTTGAGTTGTAGTGGGGGGATAGTTTCCAAACCAACACAGAGGGTAGTTTTGTTCCGCTTCTTCCCTTAAAAATAGAAATAAAATAATCAAAATGCTTATAAACTTGTCTAATTAAAACCTTAACTTTCTTTCCATACTACCCTAGTATCTTGCCATCAAAGTTTTTCTTTAGCTTTTTTTCCCCCATGATTAATGATTCTATATGCACAAAAAATATGCAATGAGTACTTACATCTACGTTTTCCTCAAAAGATTGAAAATTAAAATATACAGCTTTCCAAATTGTATTTCCATTGAAAACCTACTTCTTCTAAATCAAAAGTGCAGCCTTAGCATGGCCATGATATCAGTGCACTTAACTCTCAGCTGTCTCTCTCCAGTTTTTAGGAACCTTACTAGAAAGTATTTCTGTTAACCTAGGTTAGCATCACTGGAAAATCAAAGCTGGAGGAGACATGGAGTTTGAAGAAAAATGTGTAAAAGGGAGTAAAAGAGACCACCAGATGTATTTGCATTGCAATTGTGACTATACTTTGTTTGGTTTTGACAAATATGAAAATGAAAGCCTTTCAGTATATTTTTCTATGCCAGTGGTTTGATATTTCTCGTGCTACAGATTTCCAAAAGCCTATGTTTGGAGATATCAAATATTTCATTACAGAAGTTCAGGCTTTTTATATGTATTTTACAATTGTCTGGTATTATTGACAAATCCTAGTCAATTACCCCCCCAGCTTTCAAATTGTCTCATTTTTAAAGAGAGAGCTTTTACAAAGCATCACTCAACATTTTAAAAACATTTCAGTGCAGTGAATGTATTTCCTATAGTGCATTAAACAGTAATACGATATTTTAAAGTCAAGCTTATTTGAAGTCAAACTTAGGCACACAATGATCTCGCAGAGGTTCAAACACACATGCTGCTCTGACTTCAGTACATTTAATGTCATATTAGAATAACAACAGATGCTGATACAGAAAGATTTCCCCTTCCCTGTGCAATAGTTAAAAAAAAATATTACTTAAGAAAACAATCATGCCTTACATTCTCCTCAGGCAATGAACGCACGAGCTGTGGAAGAATGCCTGCCTTCACAACTGCCTCTGCCAAGTCCACGTTATAATCAGCAAGTCTCCCGAGACCCAAGGCAGCAGTCTGTCGAACACTTGGGACAACATCCAGCAAAAGAGGTCTCAGCAAAGACACTACACCTGAGTTACAGCAAGAAGAAAAGAATCCATTTGGTAAGCAGAAATTTTTCTAAACATTTGCCTTTATTCATAAAAACCTACTCTTCCAGGTAATAAGAACATGTAGGAAATCCAGGTGTTCCGCTGAAATGAAGTTGGCACTTGAATAGCACTGCTGACTGTTTCTGACCATTTTTCATAGGTACAAAACAATTCTGAAATATAAAAAAGTCACATGTAGAAATAAGCTGTATTCAAATATCTGTAAAATACATATCTTAAAGTTTAAACAAGAAAATAAGGTATATTCAAACATATATAAAATGCACACGTTCACATATTCATGGGAAACTCCATCCAGAGGTCCTGGTGAGAAGACATTGTCTTGTCACTCATTTATCATGCCAGCAGAACCTCTCATTGAATTGCACCAAATTACATTTCATCTGTTATAAGCAATGACTTGGAGACCAAAATCCACACTATATTATACTCCAGACAGAAGAGCCGAAGATTTTCTTATCATCTTTATGATGTGTTTCCACTGATGAGTTCACAGTGTATCAGTTAAGCATAAAGAATATGAAAGTACCAGCGAGGGGAACTATAAGGAACTAGAAACTGAATTACTGGATAACAAAATGGTAAGTGAAATGGAGCTCAAACAGGAAACCCAACCCCAACCTTTTATATGCAGTGATGGACCCCAAACAGATTACTACCAACCAGAAGAAAGATCTCAATGTGAGAGCAGACATGTGGAGATACCAGCTCTTGTTCAGTAGCAGAGAAGAAACTTTACCCACAGAAGTACACAGGGTGCTCAGGATTATCTGGAAAGGGGTAGAGGCCAAAGCAGAGACCATCACTATCCTACATTTAATACCCTCCAGTAGAGCAGAACTGAAAAAGGTTCAGTGAAAGGCAACAAGGATGATCCAAGATGACCAATCTGTATCTGGAAGCTCCTTCTACAGTTAAACTAAGGCTCTTCAATAAGGATAGAAATGAGATTCACTTGGTTAAATAAAAAATGTGATTTCTAAGGTCTGGGAAGGGAAAATCACTTGTATTGTGATTCTTCAAATGTACTCTCCCTCTACCAGCCAGCTGCATGAATTAACACTTTAGAACTTTATACCTCAGCCAGAAAGCAGAGCTCTCTGAAAACACAGATGTGCTACAACAGAATACTGAACTCTCAGAGCTACACACATTATCTTCATATCAGCTTTCTCAGTCCTTTCCACTACATTTTTTTGGTAACAAAAGGAAAGATTTAGTTGGGTGACTGTGGAGGAAAGCAAGACTTCCCTCCCCAGGGGCTCTTGTGGTTATTAGCAGTGAGCAAAGGTCTTTTAGTGTGACAGTCCCACAACAGGGGATCATTGCCTAATGGAAAGTAACACCATGGTGTTCAACAGGCACACCATGACAAAGAAAAGCTGAGGACCTCAGAGCAGGGAATAGTCCAAAGGGATGGAGGCTATAAGAAATTACACCCATAGCATACTTCCATATAGAAGGACACTGAAAAGGAAGGGAAAAAAAGTAAGTTGAGCAGCAATATAATTCTCACCTTTATTTTACATCAAAACCAATTGCTCCAAGAAAGAAGAAAATAACCTAATAATCTATACATGGCTCTGAAGGAGCTGGGAGTGCAGATGTGGAAAAACTAACTGTGGAGGCCATGCTGCCCACTAATGAATTTGTGGGAAAGTCAATATTCCAGACAAAAGCTGCACTGTCATGAGAGGTACAGCCTCCCAGCATGTTCACAAGTCAAAATAAAACAGGTCTCAGGGGGGCACACAATAAAAGAAAAAAGAGAAAAGTAAAATTAAATTGTGATGTCTAATAGCACTACAGAAGCACCAAATAGGGCTCTGTAATATGCATTAATTGAACATGTATGTGTAGTACCTATGGAACAGGTCTGCAATGTAGCTGGCACCTGCTCACACTTCTGTCAAAGCCACTGGGAGCTGAAAGAGGCCTCCCGTGTACAACTGACAAAAGACAGATCCTCCAGTATTGTAAGACCAACATGAATGCATTTAGCACTTTGCAGAAGTCACTACTTCAGAATGCGGTCATCATATTGACATCTTCTCACAAACTCCCCAAATAGCAGGTATGGTCTCATTAGGAAGTTATGTTTCATATAAAAAATGCACTAAGTACTTTATATGACAAATTAAAAGTAAAAACAAACATACGAGTTGGGGCCAACACTGTATATCATCTATTACCTTCTCGTAAGTCATCTGCACCCTCTGTGGGAGGGCATTTCTTGTCCTTCCCTCTAACATCAGTTGCATGGTCAAACAGCTGCTGAAATTCCTAAGGGAACCTCATGCTTGCTGTTCTGACTCTGTGTACATTGAAGGTATTTCAGTAAAGCAGGAAGAGTTAGAAGTAGTTCATTTGCATTTAGTGTACACATATTACATTTGAGCCCTTGACTTGATATAATATGAAACAAGATTATTTAATAAATTAAAAAAGGGAGAAAAATATTTAGTTTTATTGATACAAAAGAGACTGTTAGAAGTGGTTGATGGAGACAGAAAGGAACACTTCAGTGTGCAGTGTCTTGACCCTAAAAAAGCCAAGAGCCTGATGGCTGGGACATTGAACCAGGATGTGTCCAACTCGTAATGTCAGTTCTGGTGATGGTCTCAAAATCCAGTGAAATTTAAACAGACTAGAATCACTTTACCCAGGAGTTAGGTCCGGACCATGTGACATGTTTCCGGTCTTAATGACATACCTACACACTGCAAAATGTAAAACCACATACAAGAAAGTTTACACATACATATGCTTCGAGTTGTCCCAAATGTGAGATTTATATAATTTGTATTTTCAAGATTAGTTGATACAGATTTCACTTTTAGAACGGGGTAAAAAGCCTTGAGTCTGGAAATGTTTCCATGCAGCATGCCTCCCCATCACCAATACCATTCATTTCATGGCAGTATAGACTTTGTAAAGTTGGGTGATAACATTTAAGCATCAGCACAAAATGTTCTACTGCGAATTATTTTAGCTGGTGCAGCTTAAAGTGAGGAAAAAGATGAAACGTGAAATGGGAGTTACTGTTTGAAGAAAGGGCACAAGAGGCTACAACAAGGTTAGGAAAAAAAACAGGTTTAGAAATAATAGCAACTGTGCTGATTCTCAAGGAGACTATATTTTCTTAAAATGATGTCTGAATGTGAGAAGAGACAGTGGACAAATAATTATCATAGCAAGAATTTTCGAGGAACAAGATGAAGAAAAATCAATTCCTGTTGTTGTACAAGCCTTATATTGACATCAAATTAACTGAGAATTGAGAGAAGTGCATAGGCCTAAATTATGCCTGCACATTGAACACAATTGAAAGCTTTTACCTTTACTTTCCACCTTCTCTTAAAACCACTTTCTTCCTCTGTGTTGAAATGCTATCCATCATCTCCAACTACTCTTTGAGACCAAAGGCTTGAGCAGTTTTTATCACTGTCATGATTTTTATATCTTTAGCAAACCTAGTATTTCTTTCTTTACAGCACTTAGAAAGAAAAGAATTAATTCTGAGAGCATGGAAACAGCTACACAGATTCTATAGTCTCCACTAAAACATCTACAGGAAAGATATCCACCTTCCCTTCTATGACTTTTGAAGATAGTGCTGAAAAGGGCAGATGTGCCTGAAACAGGATGAAGCTTTCTGGCACTGGCCCCAGCCCAGCTCTTTCTCCCAGAGACAGCTGTATTTGGTGAGCTCCTCTATTTGATCTCTTCCTGTCAACTATCCTGTCTACAGCAAAGTCTACCCCTCTTCTCCAAAGAGGTCCAAGCCAGGAATCCTATCAACCTTTTTAATTAAATTCAAATGTATCTAAGATTATCTTAGAGTGGGAAAATAGGCAAGAACCTTCCAACAACTTCCTTTTACTTTACCATTCACCCAAGTGAACAAGGCCATACAGATCAGGGAGTAACAGTGTCTTGCTGCTGAAACTTTAGAACTCTTAGGTCTTCTTCCAAATAAGTCTGTTGTGACAGAAGTAGAAAATTCATTAACTGTAATTCAAAGGCAACCACACGCATAGTAAACTACAAAATAAGGCATTTAGACCACTGGACAAGATTTGTTTTGGAAGAGTTCCCACTAGCACTCAGAAACTGAGTAACAAAGAATTACTGCCAAATATTCTCTCTTGCATCACAGAACCTTGGCTGACCTTGGGCAAGGAACGATTCCTCTTTCTATCCTCAGTTTCCCACTCAGATTTGTTTTAAAGAATGACACACTTTAGAAGCTGAATCACACACTTCTCAAGTGGAGCTGTTATGTACAGGCCTGATGTACTTTCTTTTAGCAAGCAAATGCTGGCTGCTGCCTATCTGGGGAAAAAAAAAATCACTCAGGGCAGCAGCAGGTTCCAAATTTTTTTAATTTTAAGTTTCTGTAGCCAAACAAATAGTCACTATTCTGGAGAGAGCAATCTTTGCTTGGTCATTTTGATTTCTTGGGGAAAATCACCTGGAATCCATGCAGAATACTTCTACCCTCCTCCCATCCCCATCAAATCCTTGTCAAACTTGACTAATCACAAAACAGAGAAACGTCACTACATTGGAAATTCTTTCCATTTCTACACCTGAAGATGACCACTCCTACCCTATTCTCCTTCCTTAAAGGAAAGTTTATTTCTGTTTTAAAATGTGGAGTAAAGTCATTCTACACTACTGCTGTTTCTGGACTCCCTCTTGTCTTGAAGATTCTGTCCTTCTAATTTATGTTTTGGATCAAAGATAACATATCACTTTTGTTTGCTACCTCTTACATTAAGAACATTCACTGGTACTCATACATTTATCATATCAGCTTCATTTTTTCAGAGCTCCTCATGTCAAATTCAGCTGATTTAACAAGGAAATACAATGGAAATTTATTTCTGCCTCACCCCAACTCCCTATCTTCAACTACCCTTTGTTAGAAGCAGCATAGCAGTGAGTTTTAAGTCTCCTCCTTGAAACAAATTTCTCAGAAGAGTAGTAAGAGAGAATTTTCACACTCACTCATCTCGACACAGCCTCTTCCAGAGACAACACAGTATGCATGTCTCAAGTACAGACTCCTCAAGTGTGACTCTCCATGAGAAAGGACTCCTCACTGCAACAGTTCCATGCACAGCACAACTACAATCCTTC